TCATATGTCTGCTCTTGTCCCATGATGCAACGCAGTGTTTCCTGCAGAGTTCAGCAGAATAGTCACATGTTGAATATGTTATAGCAGGGTAACCCTTTATTTTACAGTGTCATTGTTACATATGTTACATGTAGCCTACTTACCACAGTGATAACAATAAATTATGCAGAATTACATGGTAAATACATGTTGTTAATTATTATTACTCAGTACTTATATATTTACACTGTAACAAATAACAATGACTCCTTAAACTAAAGTGTAACCCAGAGTAGTTGAATTGATTCAAACTTTGAGTCTTTTTGACTGATTCATTCAAAGAACCGACTCTGAATCGCCTGCATGTTTTCTTTTGCCAACAGTAATTTTTTTTATTTTTTTATTTTTATAAATAATTAATGGTCCCACTTAATATTAGGTGTCTTTAACTATATTGTACTTGCATAAAAATAAATTGTTAGGTGCAATGTACTTTTTGTGTTCATGGTCGCTCACTAACGTTAACCTAGAAGATAAATGTGCGCATATCCAAGTGTTTGTGTGGACTGGAGTGTGGAAGCAGAGAACCAGGGTATGGGCATTTTTAACAAGGTTTTTTTCTATTACTGATAGGTCTCAAAAACAAGTACTCAGTGGCGGGGCGTGTCCGTCGTGGCGATAACTTAAATATTTGAATTAAAACGGTGTTCTGAAAATTAATCAAAATATGGCTAGTAAAAATAACACTGCTAGATTATCAATAATGCATCAATAAAAAAAGAAAGAAAAGAACTCTTCAATTTGAATTTCAGATTTATTTGTATAGCGCTTTTCACAATACATCGTTTTAAAGCAGCTGTAAATGCATGTGTCTACATTACAATTTAGAGTGATCTGTTGTCAGACGTGACTGTCTAAGTAATGTCCATATCTCAGTACAGAAATGTACAGTTCTAAGATAATACAAATCATGTAGTTAGCTAACATCATGTATTAATTTTAGGAAAAAATTGAACTAATTAAATTAATTATTACAAGTTGTGAACAATGATTACAATATATAGAAAATTTTGCATTGGTGTATGTTGGTTCAGAGTTGGCGTCCCTGGCAGCAGTTGGAGTCATCTCTTCACAGGTGTTGGGTCACCAGTCTTCGTAAGAGGCTGGATCCAAACTGGAGCTGGCGTGTAGTCTCTAGTTACCTCAGGATGGGCATCCCGAGAAGCAAATGGTAAATAATTAGCGTAGCTGCTGTTCATAACATTTTGAGCAAAGATAATCATTTGTGCATTTGATCAATTGACAATTGATTGATTTGACAATTCTAGTTGCATTTTTCATCAATTAATTTCTTAAATTATCCGTTGACTATGTTCTGGCCTGTTATCTATTGGTGATTTTTTTTTTTTTGCCGAACTTACTTGCCGACCCCTGAGGATGAAGTAACAGTACATTCCTTCTAAATGCAAATTGTATTCTAAGAAATTCTGTGTACAGGTTTTTGGTGCTATATGTAATATCTCAGTCTTATCTGAATTTAATAGAAGAAAACTACTGGTCATCCAATGTTTTATATATTTAACACACTCTGTCATCTTGGATAAATTACAGATTTCATCTGGTCTTGATGAAAAACAGCTGAGTATCATCGGCAGTTGAAACTAATTCCACGTTTTCTTATAATATTACCAAGTGGCAGCATGCAGTATATTGAAAATAACAGAGGGCCTAACACAGGTCCTTGTGGCACTCCATTACTTACCGGCTTTATCTTAGATTTTTTCCCGTTTAAATAGACAAAATGGTTAATTTTAAACCACCTTAATGCCTGTCCCAATGCCAGTGTAATTTTGTAGTTGATCTAATGTTATGATCTATAGTGTTGAATGCAGCACTAAGATCAAGTAAAACTAGTATTCAGATACAGCCTTGGTCAAAAGCCAGAAGAAAGTCATTTGTATAATCCTGACTGAAATTTTTCATAGATATAGTTATTTTGCAGGAAGGAGCACAATTAAGCGGACAACTTTTTCTAGTGTTTTAGACATAAATGGAAGATTTGAAATGGGTCTGTAATTTGCCTATTCATTTAGATCTAGTTGTGGTTTCTGAATGGGAGGCTTAATAACTGCCAGCTTGAACGGTCTTGGGACATCTTAAAGGAATAGCTGCATGAGGTGAAGCTGAAGAATGAATGAACACCAGTAAACTGAAGCCCGGTAAACTATGACATACCCTGTATGAGATTAATCACAACATAAGCGTAACATTACAACTTGTATCTGCTCAAACGGATGCAAATGCAAGTGGTCTTGGAAGTTACATGCTAGCCAGAAAATGTTATGTTGCCGCCGGACATTGCCATTTGAGTTGAGGCTGGAGAGTGAATGAACACCAAACTGAAGCGCTTTGTTAGCAAGTTAATAAACTCAACCAAACACATCCTATATGAGATTATTCAGAGATATACAACATAAAATTAATATCACAACATCTGCACGTGAATGCGCACGTGAACTTGACCGTGCTTGTCTAAATATGTAACTCCCGATGTGGATGCGCTCAATATTAACTGTAAAATACTGTAACTGTATTTTCAAAAAGTGATTTCAGGCATCACTGCGCACTTTCAAGTTCAAAGTTTTAGTTAAGTCTCTTACGGTGCTCACCATTTGAAAACGAAAGTAAAATGCACACGGCCGCACCTGCATTCATGTCCAGTGGCGTGGAGCAGAGCGAGCAATTTCAATTAATTCCAATGGAAGTTGTGCAAGCGTAAAGCTTAACTTCCATAGTAATAAACTGAAAATGCTTGCACTGCTCCGCGCCCGTGGACCCGAATTAGCGGCAATTCGGGCCCAGCAATTGCTTGAATGGTGGGTTCATTATTATTCTTAGTGAAAAACACATCTAACCATTTGCAGGTTCCCTATTAGCATTGGGTTTAAATGCAAAATATTGCCAAATTACATTTCGCTTTGAAACCAAATTTTCCGTCTTGTCAGTCAGCTCGCCTCACTCTCGTCACGTGATAAATTAAATCTGACTTCTGCTGCTAGACTGTGCTGCGACTCTCATTCAGATCACGCTGAATTGAGCGGACATGTTCAGTTTTTAATTGTAGTGTCTGTTCTCTAACTGAACTAAATGAGTTTTATTACTATAGAAAATCAATCTTTTCAACCACACAGTATTGTTGTTTCTTCGTTTTTACAGAATTATTACAGAATTACTGGGATAAAAGTTTATTGTTCATATATAAACACGAATAAAACGCGTATAAATCTCCGATCGTGATCAAAATAGACGCCTTTTGTGATTAATGATTCAAATTACGATTGCATTGATTTACATCATTACACCACTAGATGGTAACAAGTGACTGTTAAAAAATTATTTTTCAATTAATTATTCATCCAGCAAAGAAACAAGTATTTATAAGTGAGTCATTGAATCATTCATACAAACCGATTTAAAAAAAAAAATTCATTCAAATTAATTAAACTTTTTAAATAGACTGCAGCAATTAACATTTTGTCAGAACCTCTGGTAAATTACATGTTACTTTGTTTAGGTCTCTGTTCAGAATCATAATCTCTATTTGAAAAAAAAAAAAAAAAGTGATTCTCAAATGATCCAGAATCGGGCAGCTCTCATTCAAACGAACGAACGGACTCTGAAATCAGGTGTGCACCAAAAGTGCTTGCATGAAAGCACACTCATTGTACTGGTACTCGCAAGTCATGACATGTTGCAAAACTGACCTACTGGTGCAGTATTTATATGACTTAAATGCCAATTAAAAAATGCATTAAAATTAATGTTATGTTCACATTGTTAGTTATATCTGATAGAGTACTATAGAGTCAAGTGAGAGAACAGATGCACTTAGAGAAGTCCATAAGATTTCACATTGTGCAATGTGCAGTAAGGGTAGAGAACTTTTTGGGAGTTGAAGGCAGGGCAGGAGAGAGAGTGAAAATGGAGAGGAGGGGGAGAGGTGTGGCCGTTGGACATTCCGACTGCTTTTCCGGTAAGGGTTTCCAGCGAGACCATGCCTGGTATGTCGGTCACAACAGACCTGGTCTTGCTTCAAATCACTTTACAAGCGCAGCAGTGCAGTAACCGCCGGCCGTCACCTCAGTCTGCATGTGCAGAAACAAATCTATGGCTCTGGTGGTCTCAACATCTGCTTAATTATTTTAAATGCATTTCCGTTCATTATACGCTGCATTCCTTCAGGACAGGACATCATCCAGATGCCCAAAAAAGGTGAACTGTGTTCTGGGTAACAAAGGCAGTTAAATTTTTTTATTTTTTTATTTATGACTTCGGCTACATCAGCAGAAGTGAATGTTCTTTTATTATCTACTGACTTTTATGACTTATCAATCTTAAGATTTCTTCAGGCTGGAAGTTCTGCCTAGCCATTTAACTTCCTGTCCTTGAAGTATGCCTGTAGCTAATTCCACTCAGAGCTTAAATAAGAGATATCACTCGATAGCGTTTGTTTGCCCATGTCTTCTCACACAGATAGACATTTCCAAAGCAGTAACCAGATGGGATTAGTTTTCTGAATTGTTAAATTGTGTTTAGCTACAATTAATTATATAAAATGCCTGTCATTTCATGTACCAATTCTGATTGTGTATAAATATATATATATATATATATATATATATATATATATATATATATATATATATATATATATATATCGGATGGGATGCTAGGAGCAAATTAACCACATCTGTTAAGCTACCCCTGAAAATTGGCCAAATGGCCAAATCAATAATGAAAGTTCATCAGGTAGAAAGCAACAATTTTAGCTTTAGGTTGACAAAGGTCAAAATAAATAAGAAGCATTGTGAAAATGGGTGGAATCAATCATGAATAGAAATTTCTGAAAATCTTGTAAGAAATTTCTAAGAAAAACAGACATGTTCATTTTCCATGAATATTATTTGCATGGAGGCCATTATTTTATTGTTTCACTCAAAGTGTTTGTGTTTCTGTTTCAGGACTCCATGAATGCCCTGGTTTTAGATCTGGACTCTCCGGCCTTACGTAAAAATAAGAACATTGAGACCTTCTTGAACAGATGTGAGTATCTGCTTTTAAGAGACCTCAGATTTTCTCTGATTGTTGTTCTGTGTTATTCTGTGGGTAAAGGAAATACTTAATGGTGGCATCATGTTTTACAATGAGGCTGCTTCCTGCTACAACGTCAACAGCATTTATATGAATTGAAATGTTTTGAGTGGCTCTTCCTAATCTAAATCCCTCACTTTAAAACACAGAAGCTCATCACATAAATAATTAACTGTCAACACATACTAGAGCTGCACGATTCGAGATAAATTGAGGATGGAGATCACGAATCTCCCACAATTCTGAACAGACAACAAAACGTGTAATTTAGGTTCTGACAAAATGTTAATTGCTGCCGTCCATTTAAAATGTTTAATTTGAATGAATTATTTAAAAAAAAAATCGGTTTAAATGAATGATTCAATGACTTTAATATTCAGTTTGTTGTCATAAGTGATCTTTGATATTTGTTTGAATTCAGTGCCTGTGCGAACGCATCTGTGTCTGTTTGCTCTATTTATGCGCTGTTAAACTTTTCACTAATTATCACATTCTGTCCCGATTTTGTTCTTGACTATGCTTGTTGTCATGGAGACCATAGGGCTGTACGAATGTTATAATGTGTGGTTTGGATGAGAGAGTGTGACTCAACAGTCCTCTCATCCAGACCGTGTACCCTCTCTACTGGCCTTTGATAACTGTCATTCCTGATGTTGATGTCCTCAATATTTTAATGAATAACTACTAAACTTTACAATACTGAAAATGTGTGTGAGGGTATTTTTGTTGGGCATTGTTTAGTAGTGGTAGAACATTCTGGGTTTTTCAGTTGCCAATGGCTGTATCTAGAAACCATTATGGCCATAGGCCGATGATAATTCAAATGTGTTTGTATATAAGATAATATAAAAATAGCAAATGAGATGTAGGCCTACAGTTCACAGAATTTACTCATAAATATTTGGAAACACTTCAGGTACTTAGTACAGTAGTAACTATCATTACCATTTACAGACCTGACAGATCACCAGAAAACAAATTCTAGTTCTTCAATCATGACATGACCAAGGAAATGTGATTTTGATGTGTTCTGTGTACAGATGAGAAGGTCATGGGCCAAACAAGAGAGCTGCAGATGAAGCCAGAGGATTTTGACCGAGTGAAGGTGATCGGTAGAGGAGCATTCGGAGAAGTCCAGTTGGTGAGTGTGTTTGTGTGAGAGAATTTCAGGATAATATGTATGTGCATTCAAAAGTGTTGATATTAAATCAAAATTGACCTGATTTACTTTGTTAGTGTTTTGTTAGTTGTCTTGTGGTGAACAATTCATCCGTGCAAGTTGATTCACACACCAAAAAAACATTTTTTTTTTTTTTTTTTTGTAATCTTGTATTTTGGCCTCTGGAATGGCCTTCCTTCTCTGATGACGTCAGTTTGAACATCCTCTCCAATGGTCTGCTGTGAGCTTTGACAGCGAGCTGAATTGAACGCCCACTTTTCTAGATCCAATCAGTTCTTAGCGGGGAAAAAACACGCCATTGCCTGTATTTTTCTCCTTCAATATTCCGTTTTACTAAGAAAAAACGTCACAACACTGAAGTCGGTCACAACTTCCGGTTCACGGTGGTTCTTCCGGTTCTCTTTAAGAGAACTTACAAGAATAAATATGTTAAATGTTGTAAAAGCTGCAGTCCGTTTTGGGGTTAAAATTTATCCAAAATAATTTTTGGATAATGTTTTTAATTCCAGTGGTACTGGTGGATTTCTGCGGGAAATTCGAGCATGTCTTTGCGTCATTACGTCACATCTGTACACATAAAGAAGGAGTTTCGGCTAGTAGGCTATATTGCGTGTGAGGATGCTGGAGGTGGAGATTTAGAGCCTTTTCTCACAGCACTTGATATAATTAAACTTATCAATTTGATGGCGGATCTAGAAAGGTTCAAACGACAATCACCAGTGACAACTAGAGATTCACCCGTTGTAAAACGCAAAAGACTTCGGACTTCAGAGTGGCTTCAGAAAAAAAGAGACTGCAACCAGGCCCATTCAAATACAAGGATAAATATCGGAAGGGCATTAAATGTAGTCACGCAATGTTCTCAAATCGTTAATGTTAATGTTAACAACATCAGCAAAGTATAATTTGCACAGTTTGACGTGATACGATAAGCGATCGTTAGATTTAATCAGAGCGATTTACTGCAATGCTTTTTTTCACTGCAGCTTTAAATTGAACAGTTTTACCTAATTTTACATTCCAACTGTATCTTTCTCTTCTGTCTGATGTCATAATTCTTTAGCTAGTTTGAGTAAATTAGTGCTAAGGCTATTTATTTATAGATCAGACCTAGATGGGACTTTTAACGGAAGTAAAACAGGGTCCCCGCTGGTCCTTTAAAAGAACTTAAATTCAGTTTGAACAAATTTAAGGACATAAAAATCTTAAATTTCTTAAATGGGACAAGAAAATTCTTAATTATCATTTCAAGAGGTCTTAAATGTGGTTTGAAAAACTTACTTTGATTAATAAACTTCAAAAGGCTATGATTTAATTAAATGTTCAAATTAAATGCATGTCTCTGTTGTGCTTTCTACAGGCTCATGGTTTGCATTTTCATTCAGCTCACAGCAAAATCGACCTGTATTTTTATGCAGCATAGACAGTGTTGATAACTGGTGGATCAAAAAGAAGCAAATGTGCATTCTGAAAATCTACACGAACACACACACACACACACACACACACAGTATACAGTGTGTGTGTGTATATACATGCATAGAATTGTTTAAAGGGCTGTTTTATCATTTTATAAAACTTTTTGTTTTTGTCCAAACCTGTTCTTGAACTATAAAGTTATTTAAATTGTGGCTTTTACAGTCATTTTATGGTTTAGGATATCATATTACCATAAACATTGTCCTCCTATGCATACATTATTAATTTTATTTGTGCAGGTCTTAAAAGCCTTAAATTTGATTATAAAAAGTAAACCCTGCAGATACCCTGGTAAAATACATTAGAGAGTCTTTATATGATGTAATTAAATGATCAAAACTCAGCAATTGTATAAAAGCACACATAAGTTATACTGTTAAATCAATCTGTGGCATTAATAGAACATTATATGCTCCTGTATCCATCACATTTTGAAAGCACAATATACATATTAAGGCAAATATGAGCAGGTTTGAATGGTTAACTAGACATATACACTCACCGGCCACTTTATTAGGTACACCTGTCCAACTGCTCGTTAACACTTAATTTCTAAGCAGCCAATCACATGGCGGCAACTCAGTGCATTTAGGCATGTAGACATGGTCAAGACAATCTCCTGCAGTTCAAACCGAGCATCAGTATGGGGAAGAAAGTTGATTTGAGTGACTTTGAACGTGGCATGATTGTTGGTGCCAGAAGGGCTGGTCTGAGTATTTCAGAAACTGCTAATCTACTGGGATTTTCACGCACAACCATCTCTAGGGTTTACAGAGAATGGTCCGAAAAAGAAAAAACATCCAGTGAGCGGCAGTTCTGTGGGCGGAAATGCCTTGTTGATGCCAGAGGTCAGAGGAGAATGGCCAGACTGGTTCGAGCTGATAGAAGGGCAACAGTGACTGAAATAACCACTCGTTACAACCGAGGTATGCAGCAAAGCATTTGTGAAGCCACAACACGCACAACCTTGAGGCGGATGGGCTACAACAGCAGAAGACTCCACCGGGTACCACTCATCTCCACTACAAATAGGAAAAAGAGGCTACAATTTGCAAGAGCTCACCAAAATTGAACAGTTGAAGACTGGAAAAATGTTGCCTGGTCTGATGAGTCTCGATTTCTGTTGAGACATTCAGATGTTAGAGTCAGAATTTGGCATAAACAGAATGAGAACATGGAACCATCATGCCTTGTTACCACTGTGCAGGCTGGTGGTGGTGGTGTAATGGTGTGGGGGATGTTTTCCTGGCACACTTTAGGCCCCTTAGTGCCAATTGGGCATCGTTTAAATGCCACGGCCTACCTGAGCATTGTTTCTGACCATGTCCATCCCTTTATGGCCACCATGTACCCATCCTCTGATGGCTACTTCCACCATGTCACAAAGCTCTAATCATTTCAAATTGGTTTCTTGAACATGACAATGAGTTCACTGTACTAAAATGGCCTCCACAGTCACCAGATCTCAACCCCATAGAGCATCTTTGGGATGTGGTGGAACAGGAGATTCGCATCATGGATGTGCAGCCGACAAATCTGCGGCAACTGTGTGATGCCATCATGTCAATATGGACCAAACTCCCTGAGGAATGCTTCCAGCACCTTGTTGAATCTATGCCACGAAGAATTGAGGCAGTTCTGAAGGCAAAAGGGGGTCCAACCCGTTACTAGCATGGGGTACCTAATAAAGTGGCCGGTGAGTGTAAATTGCAATTATTTAATCTATTAGCTGCCACACTTTAAATAAATGTAGTGTGTAATTGTCTGTATGAATGTGTTAAGTGTGAACAGTTATACCAAATGCTGCAAGCAGTTCTGTGTCCTTCCTGTTAAGTGTTAAATGACCCCATGTAATTGTATATTTACATGTCAGATGTATCAACACAGAGACCATGTGTAGTTTTGTATTGTGTCGTCACTCTGGGTGTGTGTTTTGTGAAAGTCAGGGGAGAGATGCAGTGGGGATGAGTCTGAACAAGCCTGCAGACACAAACAACATGATTACCCAGTATTCTCCTCTGTCAGTTGTCTGACAGGGGCTGTGTGGGTGCACTGAACCTAAAGCACAACAACAGAGGGTGCTTTAAAATGTGGCCGTCTGTGTCGAAGGCAAAACAGCCTCTCACAGAGTGTTCATTGGTGGTATTTTTAAATCGTTTTGGGAGCGATGCACAAGATCTGACAGAAATTGCAAATGTTGGTCCATGAGTGTGTTAGTAATGAATTAGCCTAAGTCTCACAGAAGGTATGTGATGTGTTTTTTGTTATGATGTGTTTGTGTAGGTTAGGCATAAGGCCTCTCAGAAGGTGTACGCAATGAAGGTGCTCAGTAAGTTTGAAATGATCAAACGCTCAGATTCTGCCTTCTTCTGGGAGGAACGTGACATCATGGCATTTGCCGACAGCCCATGGGTCGTACAGGTATTATGTGCTGACATCTAGTTTTTTTTCTCCTCACAAACGTGTGCGCCTTAAATGTGCAGCAGGGATTTTTCATATACAAATACTCTCTATGGTTTGATATGCGTAAAACGAATGTGCTCTTTCCAAACATTAAATATCACATGACTATCCAATATGTGTGTACACTACCATTCTAAAGTTTGGAGTCTGTAAGATTTTATTTTATACTTTAATTCAGTAAGGACACATTCAATTGTTTAAAAGTGACAGTAAAGTCTTTTGCATTGTTATAAAGAAGCCTAGAAAATACATTGCGGTCTCCACAAAAATATTAAACCACAACTGTTTTAAACATTGATAATAATAATAAATGTTTATTGAGCACCAAATCAGCATATTAGAAATATTTCAGAAAGAAATCATGTAATATAAAGAGAATTCATACATAAATTGTAATAATATCCCCAATATTACCTTTTTCACAGTATTTCTAATCAAATAAAAGCAGCCATGGTGAACATGAGGCTTCTTTCAAAAACATTTTTTAAAAAAATGTTTACCGACCCAAAACAGTAGTCTTTTTTTTCTTTTCTTTTTACTGATTTCTTAAGATTATCATGATCATATTTAAATAATGAAACAGGATGCTTTGTTTTTCAGCAAATTTAAAAGCATTATTTAAGAGTCAGTCAGTCATTCTGATTTTAAGCTTTTATTTAACAACTATTTTGTTTCACTCGAGTGTTGCTGTTTTTTAATTAGCTAGCTGCTCAAGTTAAAATGTTAAAAGTTAAATTATGTGCTATCTTTATTGGACCAGAAATATCATGCCAGTGCATCTCTAGCTTGAGCACATACACAATGTCGGACTACAGAGATAAATAAACATATATTTTCTTTTTTCCTCTTTTCTCGATTCTTTCTCATCTTCTCCTCAGCTGTGCTGTGCTTTCCAGGATGACCGTTCTCTCTACATGGTAATGGAATACATGCCAGGAGGAGATCTAGTCAATCTCACCAGCACATACGACGTTCCAGAGAAGTGGGCAAAGTTCTACACTGCCGAGGTTGTGTTGGCTTTGGACGCTATTCATTCCATGGGCTTTATTCACCGAGACGTCAAACCAGACAACATGCTGCTGGACCGCAACGGACACCTCAAACTTGCCGACTTTGGGACCTGCATGAAAATGGATGGGGTGAGGGGTCAACCAGTTATTACAATACAAAAATGTTTTGTAGGCTGTTCACAGGCTCTGTGAAAACTGCAGGCTCTCTCTGGTCAACTTCTGACCAAGCATTTCACCCTGAGCGCAGGGATTTCTAGCTCACTCCTGGATGTAATTGCATGATAAATACCTTGAGCACATGCCAGTTCTTGTCCAAACTCAAGGGACCAAAGAAAAACTGAGCCTTCCTCTCATTCCTTTATCTCTGAATGAGGAAGACCTCAGGTGGTTTCAGAGGTCATACTGGAGCTAAAAAGCTGTTTTACTTTAAAAATACTCCGTTTATGTTGATTAAAGATTAAAGGAATCGTTCACCCAAAAATGAAAATTCTGTGATTAATTACTTTGACATTGATGTTTCAAAAAGTTCATAAAGCGATCGTAAATCTAATGCATATGAATTGAGCGAATTAGTCAACATTTTCTGAAGAGACTATCGCTTTAAATCAGTGGTTCTCAACCTTTTTTGGGCCAGCGCCCCCTATCCAATATCCAGGTCCCCGACCGCCCCCCACCCCCAAACTAATGAGCGAGCAGGAACGAGTAACAGATGAAATAAGTACAAAATTGTCATTTATTAATACAATCGAACTATACTCCACAGCGATTAATCCAAAAAACAAGCTATAAACTGCATTGAATAGCAATAGCAGTGTTTCTCACAGGATTTTTGGTAAATCTGTGGTGGGTGAACCTCTGGCCTTTTAGGGGGGTTCGGGGGGCAAGCCCCCCGTAAGAAAAATGTGTGCATTTTAATGTTAAATGCATCAATCTGGTGCACTTTGAGAGTTCAAAATTAAAAGCTCCAACCCATATTCAGTGTGCAAATTAAACAAAGAAAAATTCAAACCTCTTTTAGTTGTGTTTGTCTACATTACACTACTACATAATAATAGTTATATTATATTAATCCCATGACATAAATAGCCATATATTATAAAACAAATGCACTGAAAAATAAAGGACAGTCATTAAAGCGGTAATGTTTGCACGTAGGTTTTATTAGCATTTAGGAGAGTATTGCAAGAAGCTGCTTACATTAACCTTACTTAAAAATAAATATACAATCATGATTTTTCATGAAAAATTATGTTAAAATTGTAGGCCTAAAATACCTTGGTATCAGGTATAATTAATACAATTACAATTAATTTGGTTTGTCGTGATTAATTTGTTTTCATAATCAGTAAAAAGAAAAATCTTCTAACAAGAATAAACACACGAACAATTCAATTATTATTGTATTATTAATTGTTTTTATATCTTGAAACTAACGTTACCCAAGCAGCGTTTCGCTCTCAGATGTGATGGCGGAATGAATAGCCTACATTACCAAAATGTGATTGCAGAATATATTTAAATATTAATATAATATAAAAATTATCCATCAAATTGTCATTTTCAAATTGAGTTAACAATAATGCCTGACCAGTAAATTACTTGGTGAACAAAGAAAACATTTTGGCATTAGGCATTGGAATTAGTTAATGCCTAAAAAATTTAAAGTTTTACCTTATAAATAGAATTTGGTTTAATTTTGAAATTCGTCGCCGGAGTAAATGGGAACATGATTTATTGAAAATATTTGAAAAAATAGAAGTGTTTCAATACTTAAGTCAATACTTTTTAATGGCATGTCAACTTTCCATTCCTCCGCTGCGTGACTCTAGCCAGCGCTGGATTGTTGTCGGCGCGAAACACATGTTTGAGCGCGTGAATGCAGATTCTAGCCAGCGCTGGATTCTAGTCAGAGCGCTGGTCTATAACTGGAAAAATAATATAGTCGTTGCAAAAGTAACGATACATAGCTTAGGCTACATGTACATTAAACTGGAAGAAGAATCACAACAAGCGTGTCGGTGAGAACACTCATTTAAACAGCATTCACACCCGAACTTGACTGCACATTATATTTTTGACATTATTGAAACTGCTTTCAATCGTAATGCAATAGAAATGAACACAAAAAACCTGCTAGTATACTGACGGTGGACTTGCGGTCAGGAGTAGGCTAGAACGGCCGCGGACGAATGATTTTCTTTTTTTTATTTGAGCGCTGCTGACGTTTTCTTTCACGCGCACCATAGGCGTGCGCGCACACACAATATGACATCACAATCTACGCATATGTTTTACAACATAATTTAACATATATGGTCCTAACACTTTTTTAATAGCCCACTTAAAGTGTTTATTACAAATAAATTACTAAATGCTTAAAATGAATCACAGTAAATGAACACAAATTTCCGTTACTCGTGAACGCCCCCCATTAACACCTGAACGCCCCCCTTTCAAGACTCTTGCGTCTAACGCCCCCCGTTGTTCTCTGAACGCCCCCTGGGGGGCGGTACCGCCCCCGTTGAGAACCACTACTTTAAATGATGAACAGATTGAATTTAGGCGTTTATTCACATATTAACATTGATCAGTGAACATAAACAGAAGCTCAACCAAACCTGCTTGACGTGCGAGAACAAACCTCTTGCGGAAGCTCGTAACACAAGAATGAACCTCATTGGTTCTCACACGTCAAGCTAACATGCTTGAGCTTCCGTTTACCAGAAACTGATGTGTGCGTTGATGAATGTTTATATGTGAATAAAAGCCTAAATTTAATCTGTTCTTCATATAAAGCGGCCGAGTCTCTTCACTAAACCATACTAAACGGCTCAATTCATATGGATTAGTTTTACGATCTCTTTATGAACTTTTTGAAGCATCAAAGTGTCATTTGTGTAGCTGTCAATGGAGGGACCGAAAGCTAAGAGCGCGCAGCTCTTAAAGGGGCCATACCTTATTTCCACTCGTTACAGCGTCCATCCTACTGAACAGGTACCAGTGTACAGGGGGAGGGGATCCGGCCGTGAGTGCGAGCCATCTCTGCGTGAGTGCTATTCACGACAGTACAAGTGCTCCACAGCGACTCTAGGGGTCGCTGTTTGACAAAAACGGAATTCTTACTGAGTGCTGCTTTAAATCATCCTTGAAAGTTTGCTGAGCCCTCAGAACCACTGTCCTAAACTACCACCACATCAAATACAAAAGTAGCCTTAAATGTGCAGAACATTATAATTATATGAGTTATAATAAACTTTGCTAGGATACATTTGAAATCATAGTCTGCTGAGATCTCTACTGTATATTATCAGTGGATTTTGATATATTTGCTGTATTAAGTCTTAAGTTTGCTGTATTTGTTATTCACCTTTAGTGTTTTCAAGTTGTTGTTTTTTTGTCTTTTACATATGAACCACATTACATGTAACTACATTACACATTAGCTATTCATTCAACAACAGCTATTCATTCAACAACAATGACCTCTGAGATGGTAGATACTTCATAGCTACTGTGTCTGCAGGGGCACTGAACTCAAAGTAGATAGGCCTAGAATAGAATGTTATGAAATACATCAAATGTTATATAACATACCAGTATATGAAATTCACTTCAAGGACATGTTGTTTGTCTCACTTTTTACATATTTGAGCCATTTCTGTCGCTTTTATTGCTCATTCAAGGCACTGACGTTTGCCTACAGAACAACCACTGGCACTGCTCCCTCTTACCTAAACTCATTACTTCAGACTTATGTGCCATCCAGAAACCTGCGCTCTGCTAGCGAATGTCGTCTTGTGGTACCATCTCAAAGAGGCACAAAATCTCTTTCTCGGACCTTTACCATGGCTGTTCCCTGTTGGTGGAATGATCTGCCTAACTCAACCAGAGCTTCTGAGTCAGTAGCCACTTTCAAGAAACTGCTGAAGACATATCTTTTTCGGCAGCACTTGATTCAGAATTAACGCTTTCTCTTCTATTCTATTCTATAAAAAAAAAAAAAAAAAAAAAAAAAAAACTGCACTAAAATTAAACTGAGAGGGGTTAAAGCACTTACGTATTGTTGTCCTACTGTTAGTTTAACTGCTTCTATTGTTCTCATTTGTAAGTCGCTTTGGATAAAAGCGTCTGCTAAATGAATAAATGTAAATGTAATGTAGCACCCCCCCAATATTCCTGGTTGAATTCTGCCCCTGCCCATGAGTGCCAAAGCTGGACATACTGTTTGTGTGATATTACAGTGCCATCTACAGTACAGAAACAGTACTACACCCTCACCTTTTTTTTTAAAATTCACTCAGGTTCAGTGTAAACACTATTATACATTGTTTATATTGCTGTGTAGAGTTTATATATATCTATATCTATCTATATATATATATATATATATATATATATATATAGATATATATATAGATATAGATATATAGATAGATGGCATCCTTTAACCCATAGATTGGTTGATTGATTATAGACGGGGATGGTTCATTGTGACACTGCGGTTGGAACCCCTGATTACATCTCGCCAGAGGTTCTCAAGTCTCAGGGAGGGGACGGATACTACGGACGCGAGTGTGACTGGTGGTCGGTGGGAGTATTTATCTATGAGATGTTGGTTGGTGAGTCAGGAATTTGTGTGTTTGTCTAAATGATACATCTGTTGTATTGGTTTATTAAATTAGATAAATGTGTGTGTGTGTGTGTGCGTAGGTGATACACCCTTCTATGCCGATTCTTTGGTGGGGACCTACAGTAAGATTATGGACCATAAGAACTCTCTTAACTTCCCTGATGACGTTGATATCTCTCAAGAAGCCAAAAACATCATCTGTGCCTTCCTAACTGACAGGTGACCTTTTACATGCACAGATGTAAAATACATGTTGTTCTCTGGTCTATGTGGATATGGATGTTCAACTGGCAGGGTTCTGTCTTCTTTTGTGTTTGTGGATGTTTGAATTTGGTAGGGAGATTCGCCTGGGCCGAAATGGCGTAGAAGAAATTAAAAGAAATCCTTTCTTTAGAAACGACCAGTGGACCTTCAGCACCATTAGAGAGAGTGAGTAAAACCCCTGCTTTCCCCACTTTACCACAGATTTTAGAATTCAAATACATGTCATACACATTTCACACTACACTGACATAGAAAAGGTAATAAAAATGAAAAAGTTCCATAACTATAATAGCTGTGCTCATTACACATTCGTATTTCTAGTGTTACCAAAATGAAACCAAAACAAGCCTGTAAGCGGGATGTTAATTTTTGAGCAATGTTAGCTTCATCTCTACTCACACATAGAACCGTTTTTCCCCCCGTTCTCTCCCCAGCTGCAGCCCCTGTGGTTCCAGAGCTGAGCAGTGACATAGACACCAGTAATTTTGATGAGATAGAGGAGGATAAAGGAGAAGTGGAGACCTTTCCTACACCCAAAGCCTTTGTTGGCAATCAGCTTCCGTTCGTAGGGTTCACCTACTTTAAAGAAGACCAGTAAGAGATTTCTGTTTTTGTCAATTCTGTACACTAAACTATTTCTTGGTATTGGATCTCCACTTGATTTTCTGAAGCAAAACCAGTTAATAATAACTGTCACAGATAATCTGGTGTGTTTTTGTGCAGGTTGTTGAATGCCGTTAACAGTTCAGCAATGAAAAATGATCTCCCAGTATCTAAGAGAGAGGTACGACACGGACACATTCCTACCTTCGTCAGCTTATTTTAATTTAACTGCTTTATGCTCTTTAGAGACTGGATTTACCTCATACAGTTGACTCTGGTTAGAGACTTCATATTAGACTTGGAAAAAACCTGAAGCTTTTTGGAGGCAGGACTAAACTGATTAGTGCTTCTTGTGACTTTGGTTGTAACTAATCTTTTCATTTTTTTTTTTTTACCCACAGGACAATTTAGCAGTAAGTGTTCAGTCTCTCTGCATAATACACAGCTTATTAGGTAATTTATTATTTTAAGAGACTGATGACATATTAAATAAAGATCGCTTTATTTTCCACTCAGCTCCAGAAGAAACTTCATTCTCTAGAAGAGCAGCTCAATATTGAAATGCAGGCCAAAGATGAGCTGGAGCAAAAATTCAGAAGCAACTGCAGCCGCCTAGAAAAGATCACCAAAGAGCTCGATGAAGAGGTGAGTGGGTGTCTCATCTGGAACTTCAGCAAAGTTGTGTGTAGGAATATACAGTGATCTTACTGCATCAATCACGACATACATGTAGTTCTCTGGTCCAAATGGATATGGATGTTCAACTGCCAGGGTTTAGTCTATTTGACAATGTTTTTTTTGTGTGTTTGTGGATGTTTACATTTACATTACATTGGTGCTTTGCACATGTGTTTATAGATAAATGGCAGAAAAGTGTTGGAGACGTCTCTGAGACAGCTGGAGAGAGAGAAAGCTCTCCTGCAGCACAAGAGCGTAGAGAGTCACCGCAGAGCGGAGAGTGAAGCCGACCGCAAACGCTGCCTGGAGAATGAAGTGAACAGTCTGAGGGATCAGCTGGATGAAATGAAGAAGAAAAACCAGAACTCGCACATCTCCAATGAGAAGAACATCCATTTGCAGAAACAGGTTTGTGGGTTTGAGGACAGCCTATTACATCCAGAAAACTTGCTATCTCTGTCATTCAGGTTCATAATTCAAGAGCATATGGTCTTGATTATAACATTTTTTGAGTGGCTTCATTTGTGGCTTCAAGTGTTATAACTTGGATTTGATTTAAGCTGTGTGTAAATCTCTTCGCAACCAGCAATATCATGAGAAATGTAACAAATCATGGAAAAATGATTGCCTTAACCTGAGAAGATAATGATCAAACTTCCCAAATCTTTGCTTATGAAAGTCAATTATGAATTATGTATTGGGTAGGTTATCATCTCTGACAGACAGCATGTTGAAGCCGCTCAGGCTGCCATTTTCACCCTCTTCTTGGAAAGTGATAACGCATTCAAAACATCCGGTAGTGTGGGTTTTCCAGGAAATGCGTGTACTCCCTGGACCTCTGCTTCTCGTAAATACTACCATGTATTGTGCACGTTATTTTTTTGACAGACATCGATGTCGTGATATTCAAATGATGTGGATTTGAAAACAGATGGATCGTAAGGTAATAATTATTTCTTAGCCGGCAAGTATTCAGTGAAGTGATTGATGCCCACGAGTGTGTTATGTTAGTTGTAATATTTCAACCGACAGCCAGACAAAGTTTTTGACGGACGTGATAATGTGCGTGAGGGGTGAACTATGCTTGTTTTTTGGGTAATTATAAAATGTGCTCGAGATGTTCTAAATGCTTTTTGTGAAGTTCCATTTTTACTGAATGAAGTTTATTTCATGGCTTGAACAAATTACATGTTACTCAAGAGACAATGTTTGGCTTGTCAAAAATGTTACATTCAGCTGTCGCAAATTCGTTGACTTTTGAAAATCAAGTAAACTTTCTTTTCTTTTTTTTCTTTTCTTTTTTTTTTTACCAGGAAAGGAGTGGTTTTGAAGTTTTATTCTCTCATAACACAAATCTTTTATTTAAACCCATGGAAATGCAGATCCTGTTTTAAATAATTGTGAAAAAAAAATCACTTTTTAACTGTTGTTCCATTATTAACCCTTAGCCAATTTTGACTCATATACATTATATATTGTACATACTACTGTTCAAAAGGTTTGGGTCCGTTGACTCCGTTCTTTAAAATTTTTTTTTTTTTTTTAAGAAATTACTGCAAAATACTGTTATTGAACAAAGATAAATTAATAAAAATAAATTGATAAATCTATTCAGCAATGGTTTTCCACAAAAATTAAGCAGCACAACTGTTTTCAACATTGATAATAATAAGGAATGTTTCTTTAACAGCAAATCAGCATATTAGAATGATTTCTGAAGGATCATGTGACACTGAAGACTGGAGTAATGATGCTGAAAATTCAGCTTTGCCAGGAATAAATGACATTTTAAAATATTGTATAGAAAACAGTTATTTAAATATTTAAATATTTGTTTTAAATTGTAATATTTCACAATATTACTGTTTTTACTGTATTTTTGATTAAAGAATTTTTTTCTTAAAAAAAAAAACGTTTTTAAAATCTTACCGATCCCAAACTTTTGAACTGTAGTTTATATAATATATCAAATGTGTGTTTTATGCATAAATATTTATTTGTTTGTTTGTTTGGTATTTTTTTTATGGTTTGAATGACAAGTAATTCTTTCAAGAATTGATTCACAAAAGATGTATGTGAATATTTTATACTTTTGTGTCCTTTGGAATACAGTGTCTGTTAAAAGCAACATTCGGTTTTTTAAAAGTAAAGTTCCCAGAATTATGGGTCTGTATTCCTGGAGAAACCTGTTGCTATTTGTCTTTCTCATGTGTTATAAAGTAACAGAATGGTCCTAGTAGCATACTGTCATTTATCCATGACAAACCAGTGTCTCTCTCTGGCAGCTGGATGAGGCGAATGCGTTACTGCGGGCAGAATCTGATGCGGCTACACGGCTGCGTAAAGCTCAGACAGAGGGCTCCAAACAGCTGCAGCAGCTGGACGCTCATGCAAGAGAACTGCAGGACAAGTGCTGCATGCTGGAGAACAGCAAGCTCACGCTGGAGAGAGAGAACATCAGCCTGCAGGCAGCGCTGGACTCAGAGAAACGAGAGCACACCCAGGGCTCTGAGACTATCTCTGATCTACTGGGTAAGTGTGGATCCCTTCTTCTGGAAGTATCATATCAATTCACACGCAACAGTGTTCATTTACATTCCACCTCTTATTCGTAGCACGAATCTCTGGTTTGGAGGAGGAAGTGAAACAGGTGAGACAAGCCCTATCTAAAGCTGAGACCGAGAAGAGGCAACTTCAGGAGAAGCTAACAGACATGGAGAAGGTAAACAAATACTTTTTTTCTCATACTCATACTTATCTCCCTTGTTGTGACTCATTATAGGCTATGGTTGTGGATTCAAACGTCATTTGTACCTTCTTTATTCCCAGCATTCATTACTTAGAAAGCTATGAAGTTCATGTACTGGTGTTTTCTCTCTTATTATGGCATTTTATGTTCAGCCCCTCTTCTAATATCTGTGTGTGTATGCCCAATAGGAGAAGAGCAATAACCAGATTGACATGACGTATAAGCTGAAGGTGTTGCAGCAAGGTTTGGAGCAGGAGGAGGCGGCACACAAGGCCACAAAAGCTCGACTTGCCGACAAGAGCAAGATCAGCGAGTCCATTGAAGGAGCAAAATCTGAGGCTGTGAAGGGTATGAGAGCTAAGCGATCCTATGAAACAAATTTTTAATGTAGTTTTCTTTCCTGTATTGGCGTATTTCCTTATTAAAACAGGTAGTTTACACAGATTAAAGACCTCAAACTAACAGAAATGGACTAAAAGCCACAAAACAATTTTGATTTCATTTTAAGAATAGTGCATGACCGTGAAGTGCATTTTGAAGGGTGCAGTGGAAAACATGTTGGTTTAGATTAAGGGAGACCAGATTAAGACCAGATTTACATTGGAGAATTGATTAAAGGGTGTATTACTGGTTTTTGTAAACATTACAGGATTTTATTGCTTGTTAACATGTCTGTTTTTGTGTTCATCTAGACCTGGAACAAAAGCTGCAGGAGGAGCGTTCCTCTAAACTGCGTGTGGAGAACAGGGTGTTAGAACTGGAGAAGAAGAACTCCATGCTTGACTGTGATTATAAACAGTCACTGCAGAAACTAGAGGAACTGCGGCGACATAAAGAGAGACTCACAGAAGAGGTACTGCAGTGTATTCATGTATTTTTGCTACACCTGCCAATGGCCTGTTAATTAAGAAAATTTACTGGCCATAAATGTCTATTATTTTGCATTTATTAAGATTTGTTTTTCAAAGATTGATCAAAAGTGAAAGTAAATACATTTGTAATTTTACAGGATATTTCTATTTCAAATAAATGCTGTTCTTCTGAACTTTCTATTCATCAAAGAATCCTGGAAAAAAATATCATGGTTTCAAAAAAAAAGATAAGAATTTCTTGAGCAACAAATCAGCATATTAGAATGATTTCTGAAGGATCATGTGACACACAAAAGTGAAGTAATGGCTACTTGCCATCACAGGAATAAAGTACACAGATCTACAGATTCTCCTGATCTTTCTCTTTGTCTAGGTGAAGAATTTTAGTCTGAAGATTGAGCAAGAAGTTCAGAAACGCACTTTGACTCAGAATGACTTGAAAGTTCAAAACCAGCAGCTCAGCACCCTCCGAACATCAGAGAAACAGCTCAAACAGGAGATCAACCACCTGCTGGAAATCAAACGCAGCCTGGAAAAACAAAACATGGAGCTGCGCAAGTATGCAACACACATGCATATGAACTCACTGTATAGTACACACAAAGACACATCTTAATAGCTGGTGGCTGAGAACCTTTCTTATGTTTTTACAAAAATATTCAAATCATTCATATATTGGATAATTTTCTGTGTGCGTTTCTAGGGAGCGTCAGGATTCGGATGGACAGATGAAGGAACTGCAGGATCAGTTGGAGGCAGAGCAGTATTTCTCCGTAAGAAGTCTAAACTCTTTCCCTTGCAGAAAAAAATCGAATACTCAAAGGTCTAACAAGATTGTTTGTGTGTGTGTGTGTGTGTGTGTGTGTGTGTGTGTGTGTGTGTGTGTGTGTTTGGTGATTGTGAGTGTATGGTGATTTTGTGTATGTGTGTGTGTGGTGATCGTTTTGGTCCCCAGGAGTAAAAGAGCTTATAAATCAAATAGGATTATGTTTTTTGGAAATGTACAAATGCAGATCATTTTCTGTAATGGTTATTTAGGGGTTAGGGGATATAATATACAGTTTGTACAATATGAAAATCATGGAAAATTCCCATAAAACATGGAAACCCAACGTGTGTGTGTGTAGACCCTGTATAAGACACAGGTGCGGGAGCTGAAGGAAGAGTGTGAGGAGAAAAATAAACTCTATAAAGACATGCAGCAGAATCTACAGGAGTTACAGGAGGAAAGGTGAGATTTATATCCAATTACAAGCAGAAAAATCACAGCCTAGTGTACAAAATAAGTTTGTAATCCACTGAATTATCAAAAAATATGCATTACAACATGGTTAAACCATATATATATATATATATAACATTTCTGGGTCAAAATGTCAGAAAACATAACCTTTTTTTATCGGACTGCTAATTTAAAGTCTAAACGTGTTAGTTTAATTTCTATGTACCTTTTCTTCTGGTGTCTCTTTTTCAGGGATTCTCTTGCGGCCCAGTTGGAGATCACACTAACGAAAGCTGACTCCGAGCAACTGGCACGCTCCATTGCGGAGGAGCAGTATTCCGACCTGGAGAAGGAGAAGATCATGAAGGAGCTGGAGATCAAAGAGATGATGGCCAGACACAGACAGGAGCTCGCTGAAAAAGACACCACCATCACCTCTGTGAGTTACACTGCATTTCAGCTATAAGCCATTCACAGAGGTGACATTTAGCTGAGGAACTTGTTGGGTTTAATTGTCCCGTCTCTATACAGTTAGAGGAAGCTAATCGCACATTGACAAATGATGTCGCAAACCTGGCCAATGAGAAAGAAGAGCTCAACAACAAGCTAAAGGAGGCACAAGACTGTAAGTGGCAGAATATGTTGACATCTATGTATATTATATAATAGTTTTATAATGATATTTTTTACATAACTTAATTTCAAAATAATATTTTCAAATATTATTCAAATGAACATTTGCCATTTCAGAGCTGTTCACACAGGAGAAATTTAACATTTCCACAGCTTCAGTAGCATATTTAAGATATTCAGTGCACATACCTATTAATTTATCTCTATTATTTTTTTTTTTACATATTTTTGTATGCCATCTGCATGGAACCTTTTACAGCTTAGAACAAACATTGACCCTCATCATCCTTAGCAAACTCATGATAGTCAGAGGCAAGCTGTTGGGGGATTTCGCTGTAACTCTGTAAAATTTGATTTTCAGACCTGCAGAATCTGAAGAATGAAGAGCAGTCCATCACTCAAGTGAAACTGGCCCTTGAGAAACAGCTGCAGTCAGAGAGAACTCTCAAAACACAGGTACACCATGACAGTTTCCTTTAAGCAAATTAATAAATCAAACTCAATTTGAGTCAGACTTGCTCCGTTACTTATTTTTCCTCTTTTCTGTTGGCTCTTTTCTATCTATCAGGCGGTGAACAAGCTGGCAGAGATCATGAACAGAAAGGAGGTCAGAGGTGGAGGCAGTCGCCGTGGAAATGATACAGACGTGAGGAGGAAGGAGAAAGAAAACAGGAAGTTGCAGCTGGAGCTTCGTTCTGAGAGGGAGAAACTCAACAGCACCATCATCAAATACCAGAGAGAAATCAACGACATGCAAGCAGTATGACCACTATTCAGTGTCTGAAGAATGCCACACTGCTCCACGGGCAGCCAGAATACTCGGTTCTTACTCTTCTTTTATTTCTGCAGCAATCGGCGGACGAGTCTCAGGTGCGTGTCGAGCTGCAGATGGCTCTCGACAGTAAAGACAGTGATATTGAGCAGCTGCGCGGCCTGTTGAACTCTCTCAACGTCCAGTCGCTCGACTCGGCCAGTATGAGCAGTGGCCCAGACATGGACACTGACGAGTCACTACCAGGTACTGTTAAGGTCTTTTCTAAACTTCTTTTCATTCTGTTGTCCCTCTCTATTCTTTCATAGCTTTTTCTTTTATTCACATTCCTCTTTTTGTTTTTCTCCACATTGTTCTGTCACCCTCCCTTGTTTTCTACTTAGTTTTACTCCGATATTCAGTTCAACTTTCACCCTTCACTTCACTGCAGAGCCTGAGTCCAAAGGTGACCTGCATGGCATTCAGTGCATGACCTTTTGACCTCTTAAGACTTGACTGGACATCATGGCAGGCTTTTCTCTGGTGTTTTTTTTTATAAAGCTGCTCTGTTTTATTATACATGTCTTCCTCTCTGTTGTACAGAGATCAGACTGGAGGGCTGGTTGTCTATACCAGTAAGGAACAACACCAAACGCTTTGGGTGGGAAAAGAAGGTACGTTTTTAGATAAGCGTATTGCATTTTTTAAAGCAAGCAAATAGCTAAGAATGCTATGATGCTGAAAAATGCTATTAACAGGGTTCCTACGCAGTATGGAATTTGATTTGAGTAATTTCCAGGTCTGGGTAAGTATGGAAAAATATTGCCTATTGCCCCTATTCAGTTTATAAAATATATAATTAAGAATTTCTAAAAATAAATGTATTGTATAAGCGGAGTGTTTTCATTGCACAAGTTTAGTGATTGTCAAACACAACTGAATGAATTCAAGGCACACAATTTCATTGTGCAAAACTGTTTGTCTTTATTATAAACGGGTCTCTTTTAAACGAATGTGCGTGTGCCACTCAAACCAGCAACAGATAAAGGAGCAAACAATCACCTCAATCAGACTGTACTTTGCTGTTTGGTGATCATGCAATATCAAACCATGACTGCAGTATCAAACCGATGTGTCGGAGGTGAATATACGCAGGTTTTAAATCGTTTAATGTTTCTTCTCAACATTTAAGTGCATGTGTTATCACTTTGTGAAAACCAATGGGGAAAAAAAACAGAAAATAAAATATTTAGAGTTGACTGTATTATATACAAAATATAATGCTGAAAAAAATTGTTCTTACACCATTAATGTTAAATATGGTTTGAAAAGTCTACAGAGAGGGAATTTGAATCTGGAAAATGTGCAGGAACCCTGTATAAACATGACATCAAAATGGACCAATCAATTAAGTAATCAGTGCTTACATTTTTTTCCCCAGATTATTCAAAACAAATAAAAGTCAAAGAAAATAGAAAATAAGAAAATGAACTACAAGGAGTCAAGTTATAAACAAAATGAACAAATAATAGTAGAACCAAGATGCAAATGAATTAAACATTTGAACTTATTGCTGTAGTCTTTATTGTATTATCATATATGATGTCATGTATACTATTTCATAATAGATCTAAATTAAAGGCTATTACATCAGGGTGGATATATATGGGAATGTAAATTAGTTTTAATTAAGGTCATTAAATGTGTGGTCAGTGTTCTTATCGTTAACTAAAACTTTTAAAAATGATAGTGAAAACTGAAATAATAGTAAGTGAATAAAATAAACCGATTTGAATAATTAACCAATTTCATGTTGTCTGAAACCACATGACAAACACTAATTACTAGGACTAAACCTCAAATGACTTTGTGAACAAGAGCTAAACCACTAGAGCTCCAGTGCTAGACTGTACAGTTCCATGATACTTCTGCATCTGAAATCCCATCCAACCCCATCATGCAGGATTCAGTGAGTCTTTTGTTTCTTCTCTCTCTTCTGTAGTATGTTGTGGTGAGCAGCAAGAAGATTCTCTTCTACAACAGCGAGCAGGACAAAGAGCTTTCCAATCCTTACATGGTGTTGGACATAGAGTGAGTCCTTCCACCCTCCAAATCCATTTCTTTAAATCAAATAAGCGTGTCCCAGTCTTGTCCTGTATCATTTTGACTGACTTGAGTCCTCTGTCTTCTTTTCTTTATGTTAATTTCTCTGGTATTCTTCAGTAAACTTTTCCATGTGCGTTCGGTAACTCAGACGGACGTTTATCGAGCTGACGCCAAAGAGATCCCCAGAATATTTCAGGTATAATGGCACACCACAGATACCACAGGCAGGGTATCAAGGTTTCTTTAATATTGAAACCTGTTGAAGTTTTAAAAGATACGCCACAAGGCATAAGGATGACGGCTATCACTTGTCATTGGTTCCTCCAGATCTTGTATGCTAATGAGGGTGAGAGCAAGAAGGAGCAAGAGGAACCTCTTCCTGGGGACAAGTCCAGCTACATTTGCCATAAGGGTCATGAGTTCATCCCCACCCTGTACCACTTTCCCACTAACTGTGAAGCCTGTACCAAACCCCTGTGGAACATGTTCAAACCACCTCCAGCCCTGGAATGCAGACGATGCCACATCAAGTGCCACAAAGACCACATGGACAAGAAAGAAGAAATCGTCGCCCCCTGCAGAGGTGAGAAGAGGCTCTCTTCTTACTACCCTTACTGGTTTTAAGTCAATTTTAAGTAAATGTTGTATTAAAATGTTCAAACTAAAATGACCCATATACAAAATTGCTGTTTAAATGTTTCTGTATGGTTTCCTGGAACCTGGAAAACCTGGGAATATAGTCATATACAGCTTTTTTTCAGTATTTATTCAAGGAGAAATTACATTTTGAGAGCGCAAAAGTACTATGAAATGGTGTAAAAAAAGAAAAAGAAAAACGTATTTTATTTTGTAATTTTTTGTCCTTGATTCATCACACATGGTGAAAATGGTATTGGTATTAAAAATGTAATACTTTTCAGCAAGGATCAAAAGATTTCTATTTCAATTTAATTCTGTTCTTTTGAACACTTTATTCATCAAAGAATCCTAAGAATAAAAATGTATTGTGTTTTCCACAAAAATATTAGGCAGTACAACTGTTTTCAACATTGATAAAAATAAGAAATGATTCTTGAGCAGCAAACCAGCATATTAGAATGATTTCTGAAGGATCATGTGACGCTGAAGACTGGAGATGCTGGAAAATCAGCTTTGCCATCACAGAAATAAATTACATTTAATGTCATGACATAAAATATATTAAAAGAGAAAAGTTATTTTAAATTGTAATAATATTTCACAACACTACTGTTTTACTGTATTTTTGATCAAATAAACTTATACATTTGAGAGACCATTTCAAAAACATGTTTTTTGAACTCATTTGTCCCATTCACATGTTTGACTCTTCTGTGCTTGCTTTCTCCACCCCCAGTGAACTACGACGTGTCTACTGCTAAAAACCTGCTGCTGTTAGCCTTGTCTCAGGAGGACCAGCAGAAGTGGGTTAGTCGGCTCATGAAGAAGATCCCCAAAAAACCTCCAGCACCAGACGCCCCTCACCGCTCCTCTCCCAGAGTTCCTGCTAAAGTGCAAAGCAGTCAATCCATGAGGAGACCCAGCCGACAAATACCTTCCGGCAAACCCAGGTGAGGAGTAAGCCTTGACATGCTCATTTTTATGCAAAGTTTTGGTAATTATGTGGCTGTGTCCAGCTCTATCTTGTGTTTTCATGTGGCAAATGTAGAGTTTATGCTGTGTCAGTTCAAATACATTGCCCAAATTGTTGTTCATCAGTGTCTGTCTCTAGAGTTAGAGGAGTACATAAAGGCCTGGTTTACATTCACGCTTGGTGACCAGATCCTTTCAGACCAGTTTGTTAAAAAATGAAAACTGTCATCATTTACTCAACCTCACGTCATTCCTGGATGTCACAAAATGTTTAGCAGAATGCCCAATCCAATTTTACATACACTACAAAATGTTTTTAAAACAGAACAGAGCACTTTAGAAGTGATTTTAGAATAAAATGTATTTCCATTAGTGTAAACACACGTGACAGATTCTGTGACTGTGAGCTGTGTTTACATGCGGGATAGAAATGGTGGCTAGCAAACAAAAACAATTTTGATCATGGCTTTTCTTGAAAAGAAAATGAAGAAAAAAACAAAGACGTGTGTGGAGCAACTGGTGGTTTATTGTTGTCTCACTAATTGGGTCAAGTTCTGCACTCCTAATAGTTTTTGATTTGACGGTTGTCGTAAGAGAAGCCACAATGCAAGACTGTACCTCAACTTTTGTCGAAGGTAAAATTTGATCATAATGGTCATTTAATCGGCTAATGGCGAACAATATCAAACTAGCGAGCAAAGAGCATTTTGGCCCAGGATCAGAGGAATCTCAGAATTTTTTTTTTTGCAATTTGTCTCAGACAGCTAAATCGTGGCCAAAATCATACAGTGTGAACTATGTATTTTTTGTTAAATGCATTTTGGTGTGGAAATGACACTAAAAAGATTTTTAGTACTTTTTTGTCCTTTTGCTCCGATAAAAGTTCAATATAATGTTTATGCAAATAATGCTGCGCATGTGTGTTGGGGAGTCCTTCTCACTGGTGCCAGTGCCAACCAAACGTTGTGTATGAGAAGCATTTAATGGCTAACGCACCAAAAGCGCAACAAAACAGAGCTGCTCGTTTGAACTGTGCCACGTGGAACATTTATCAGCTCAGCCCAAAACACGCAGCGTGAGCTTAGAGCGAATGCGTTTAGTCACTCACCGTCTTAATCAAGCGACCATTAAAGTGTAAATTGCAGGTTAACCACCACAACCAATTAATGTGTAAATTAAAATGCTCAATGTGTATATATGTAAAAATGTCTGTCTTAAAATGCGTTAAAATAACATTTATTGGGGTTTCTTCAAAGGTAGCATGTTTTCTACAGTAACTGGGTGATGACGTCATAAAAGGGAGCGCGGGCGGTAATGCACTCACTCTGTGTGTGCCGGTTGAGAGAGAATAAAACGATTCGCGGGACTCCCGCAAACTAGAAATATCTATGAATAAAACATAAAAACGAATACATTTGTATTCATCTGTTGCAGAAAAGTAATAAGAACAACTAAAACAAAATAGAAACGGTTTACAGGCAGAGTTTCTATTTCTAACATGTCTGCAGCGTTGAGCGATGTAGCCAATCACAGACATATGTGTTGATTTCTTGAACGCAATTGCCAATCAGAAGCATTTACGATAGACTCCCCTCACCGCTCAAAACGGACTTTTTGTTCAGTGCTGAATTCTGTATGCTGGCAAATCCTCTAATTATAACAAACATAGTGTAGGCCTATATATTATGAAAGATTCATTGATAATAACAGAGATGTGTGAGATCGCGATGAACTGATGTCAGCTTTTTAGGAATTATTATGGGAGCGCACTTTGCGCGCAGTCATGCCAGACCATGCACGCAGCCCGCTTGCTTTTATGTTATAACAGTGATCAGGAGCATGTATGCTGATGTGTATGGTGGCGACACGTAGGCTAACTTGAAAGTATTTGGAGGTACAGAAAAAAAGTCTTTTTGCGGGTGGGAGCGGGACAAAACATAAATGTTGCGGGCGGGAGAAAGTAATATAGAAAGTATGAGAACGTCAGTTATAACGACCCACGTATTAAAAAATAGTCGGGTTTAAACCGGGCTCATAATTACGGTTAATGTGTCGGGCAGGGCCGGACCGGGCTCGGACACAGTGGGCTTGGGTAGGGTCTTGCTTGATTTTTTTGGGCCCGATCTAAGCTCTACCTCGGGTAAGTAATGCTAACACTTACAGGCACGAATCAGCCGTTTGTCCTTGGGGAACTTGTGGAGCCTCTCCCCCGTTTTTGATGTATTCGTACATCCCGCACAAACACAATAGTTAACCATTTTTGCTAGCTAGGTCTCCAATATAACGTAACTCCAGGCCTGGAGCATAGACAGTAAAAGCTTGGAGTACCTTTTATGACGTCACGCCCAGCCTAGTGGCAGGGAGGGGGCGTGCTTAAAACCACTGTAAAACGCACCAACTTTTCATATTATATTCAGCATTTTGGTATAAAAAAACATAAAAAAACAATGGTGGGCGGTCCTTATCTTTATGTTTAGTAAGCACATTGCATTATCTTCGTGAAAAATTCTACCTGCAATTTACACTTTAAAGGCCCCGATATACTCACCGCAAAGTTCTTTTTCGTTCTTCGTTTAGGGGTAAAACATAGTAGCGATATACTGTTATCGCACATCTGACCCCACTCACACTGCTGAGAGCGACGGTTAGATGAAAATGTAAATATGTGCTGTGCGCTTTCCTCTCAATAAAATACACAAACAACAAAACTGAGAAAACGGCAAGCATTTTAATAAAGCATTAGAAACGCATCTGATTATTTTTGCACAAGCTCTATGGCACTCCAGTGAAGTCACGTCAAGTTTATTTATATATCACTTTATACCACAGATAGCTTAAAATCAAGCAGGTATAAAAACGCTGACTCGTTAGGTAAGGTTTTCTCATTAAAATCAGATGATTTCCTGTTAATTTAATAGAATGTGAGGAAATGCCAAAAAGCGGCGTGGTGACTTCACTTTTTATGACATCATGAGCAAACCAGTTCTCTATATAGATCAGCGGTAGTAACACCAACTGAAACCCCAGAAATGTGGGATATTCATATTGAATTTGATCATATTATTAATGTTGACATTAAATGGATTAAAGGAGTAGTGGAATATAATTACAGTATTTTTACTTGTAGCAGTTGTGCATTTGCAGTATACTCAATTTCTTTACGCTACTTTTTTATTAACAAATACCATAGAAACAGTATAGTTACTTTTTACTATGGTAGTGAGATGCAATGTGGGGTTTTAGCTGTGGTTAACATGATCCAAATACTATGGACGACCAAATTTTACCCTATAAAACGGCCCTACATTTTGTAAAATATCATCTTTTTGTGTTGCATGGAAGAAATAAAGTCCTACAAGTGTGGAACACAACACGAGAGTGAGTGAATGATGACAATTTACACGTTCATTTTTGTGTGAACTGTACCTTTAACATCTTGTTCTGTAAAGTCTGATTCAAAGATGGCCGTGCATAAAATCAATGCAGAAGCTTTGGCACCGGTTTACACACTAGAGTGCTACTCTATATGATACACAGGTTTGTGCACAACGTAAAGGAACCAACAGCATGTGCGGAGAAATCTGGCTTCATCTACCACAAGGGTCATGAGTTTCTCCCTTTATTCTACCACTTCCCTGCCGACTGTGAGGCCTGTACCAAACCCCTGTGGAACATGTTCAAACCTCCTCTGGCTGTGGAATGCCAGAGATGCCAGATCAAATGCCACAAAGAGCACATGGACAAGAGAGATGAAGGTCTCAGACCCTGTGCTTCCGACCAGTTCAGCACTGGGTGAGAGGAGAACGCGACCGACCTGGAAGTTGGATGGAGAAAGTATTGATGTTTATTGCAGAAAGCGTTAGGATGCTTCAGAAACATCATGCAAGAGCATTCATGGTTTGAATTTCGGTGCCTAACTAGCACAATAACATTTATGATGGCTATCCGGATGTAAAGCTTGAACAGTGTTACGCTGGGCTACTTTTTGTAACTTGGGATGCAAGGTGACAGCTTGGGCATTAACAAAGCACTTTTTATCTTTTGCATCAAACTCAGGTTTTTAATTGTGAATAGTAACATTGAATTTAAAGGCAAAATACTAAAGGTATGCATCAGAAGATTTAAAACTTCTCACACAGAGAATATACATCTTCACCTTCAATGCACACTTGGCATCAAATGCATACAGATGTATATAGGTTTCAAAGCTTCAGTGGTAAAGTGGTTTAGCTCAGTTATAGTAATTACCTCTAATGTGCAAAGGTGTAGCTTCACCTTAGCAAACTACCTCACTGTGGGGAGACTGGTAAAGGCTTGGCTGAATGCTCTCTCCTCCACCTGCAGGCCTCTGGATTCTGAGCTTCAGGACTGGCACTGGGCTCTGGATGACGTGGATGATGTAGATTATGAACACACGTTTAATTTCTGAGGAGCATGTTTAGGGTTGAAACAGGGTAACTGCTTACATAGGGGCTCTGTTCCAAAACCTTGTAAGCCACCTACGTAGGCTGCATTTAGATTGACATCAAATACACACTAAGCTAATCTTTAAAAACATTAGTGATTTAATGAGATTATAATGTTGTGATACCTAATTTTACTTTTTAATATCAAACATTTACCAATAAAAAAACTACCGTTAAAAGTTTAATGTTTTTGAAAGAATATATTTATTTATAATATATTTTATCATTAAACTTTTTTGTGAATATATTTTAAAATGCAATTTATTCCTGATGGCAAAGCTGAATTTTTGAGTCACATGATCCTTCAGAAATCATTCATATATGCTGATTTGGTGCTTAAGAAAAAAACGTCACTTTTGATCAGTTTCGTGCTTTCTTGGTAAATAAAAGTATTAAAAATCGTACTACCCTCAAACTTTTGAACGGTAGTACTGTATATGTAAGGGATAATGTACATCCAGCCGGTTATTATCTCAGAATAAACCCAGACTGGGTGATCAGGACCCCGGTGCAAAGCGGAGGCGCATAACTTGTCACATGCTTGCCACATAAGTAAATAATTAGACATGAAATATTGATCTGAGTTGAAATATTTTATTAGCTCTTTAAATGCAAAGCTTCTGCGGAGAAAGCAGTTGCTAGCGCGGCAAGTTCAAACTAGATGTACATTTAAGGGATACGGTAGTCATACCACATATTACACAGCATTTCGCAACATACTGTAAATAATTATGGGGATAAGAGATTGATTTTAGATGAAACTTTTAAAATCTTACCTGTTTGTTATCTTATAATTCATTACAGTGTACAAAACAAGTCGCAAAATGGCAGAAGCTGCGTTTGTATGAAACGAGAGAGCGTGTCCATGATACTGGATGGCTTAATTAAATAACTGCACAAAATATTGATTTGACCGGAGTTTTAATATTTTATCATCTCACCAAAAGCAAAACTTCCACGAGGAAAAAACGTTCCTAGCAATCGCGCCGACTTCAGTGACAGATACCCGGATGAGCCTGTTATTAGTTTTTAGCGGTTGTAATCGGGGAATAACATAGATATTGGATGGCGCGATTGGCCAATCAGAATACAGTATTCCACAGTGCCGAGTAACAAGTCTAAAATAGTCCATCCAAAATGCCGAAAAAAATAAGATGCATCATAAATGTAAATGTCATTATTAAATCTCATCAATAAAAAGTTAGATCAAATTAAAAATGGACTATATTTGTATGTGCATTTGTATTTTTATGATCTTTAGAGTATCATGTCATTAATAAAGTGCTACACTAAACTCTAGGCTGAACACTAGGTTTTGGAACAGTCAGCGAGTGCAGTGGGATTTGTTTGTTGTTGAAGCAAATTTAAGCATGCGAGTCTTATTGGTGTGAAAAATTTGGCCAAGATGGGATATGGAGAATTTTCCATAACCTAACAGACGTTTCTGTACCAATTCCTCTGCTCATAAACACCCTCTCCACACTCCAAACCCTCTCTTGAATACAAAGCTGAATAGTTTCTCCAATCCTTTCCCATTTACTACTGAAGGAGAGGAGGTTTGTACAGAGAATTGGTATTTGGCCTGCTTGTTTCTTATTTGACCTTTGACCCTCTTGTCCTAGTCCCCCTCGACTGGACGCTCCAAAGATGAGGCGAGAAGACTCCTCCAACAGCATTCTGAACAAATGAGTCCATTGGCTTACCGTGTTTACAAACTAGAAGACATTTCAACTGTACTGTAAAAGGAAAAAGAATGAGAGCATGTGCAAAACAGTATTTTTATTTTTAGGTCTTTCTTTGTTCCCTTTTGCAATAAAAGTTTGCAACTGTTGTGTGTGTTTGCAGGTGTATTAATCTGCTTCTCTTGAGCATGATGGCATGTGCGCTGTGGTGCTTTTTTTATTACCGAAGGATTTTTCTTTCCTCTTGGGTTAAAATGTAGTGAAACTAACTTTCTCTTTGTCTTTCTCTTTCTCGATTTCTCCCTCTTTCTCTAGTTAACCTTATATTGGGAATCTGGTGCTGCTACATGGTGATTTGGGGTTCTTCCTGTCACATCAACAAAAGACCTTTGTCGTTACTTTTCGCACATTTTGGCAAATCCCCAAAAAAGTGAGAGATACACAAATGTTGATGAAGGCTTTGCTGGCGTGATATGGCTTTTATTTTCTGGGCATGCGGTTGCTTCGACTTCAAGAGCACAACAGATCTACACAGAACTGAAGGGTCAGCGTCACACCAAACTTCTTATTCATTCAAGGCCAGAGTTGACCTGAACGCTAAGACTGAACCGGCCAGAGAATGTGGACGACAGCTGGTTCTGACCGTAGTCTTTTTTTTCTCTTTTTTTTTTATGGCTGAATATAGACGGTAGTGCAACACACCACATAAACGGCTAGAAAACACCACTACATATGTTTCTCATTCCTTCATAAATGCAAGTGCAACTCTGGTGTTTCTTCTTGTAGAGTGTTTTTATCTTTATTTACCCCCACGTGCGATCATACCCTCTTTGATCACGGATGCATCCCATAATGCTCTCCTGGACACCTGTGTGGCTCACTCACTAGAATGAGTTGACTGTAATCTGAGGAGGAAGCTTTATTAATGGTTGTGATTAACAGTGACCAACATCTAGATGTGAGCTGTGCATGTGGGCAGGAGTTTCTCAAACGTTTCCAGATTTGAAATTGATCTGCAAGTCTGTTTTGGGGTGGTCATCTTATGAATTTGGTCATCGGCTGTTAAAAGTTGAAATTTAGATTTTCATGCTACGACTTGAGACTAAAACTGATTCACCTTGCAAGCACATAATTGAAATGTTCATAAGACGGTGGAATGTCTAAAAACCATGTTTAAATTTACTAGGGAAGTTTTTTTTGTGATTTGAAGTGGTGCGTTTGTTTTTTGTGTATCTTCACCTTAGCAAACAGTGTGTATCTATGGGTGTGCTATGAATGCATATCCGTGTTCTTTTACACGTTATATATATATATGAATATACAGCGTATATTTGACCTGCCATCTTACCAGTTGGTTTGCTATTTATACAGGTCTGGGCACTTTTTTTATTTTAAAGCGTTGCCTCCAGATTTGCATGTTTTATATTGATGTACTGTTTGACCATAAAATGAAAAGCATATGTAGCCGTGTTGTTTGGAGACCTTGTATAACATTTGCTTATTTTTGTAAACAAAAGTAGTCAGTTAAATAGGTAGGCTATATAGCTGTGAATGTAGTAAAAGGAAGTAAAGTTTTAATATAAACAATGTGGTCATTCCTTTCTGTCTGCTTATATCACACACACACACACACACACACAATAAATATATATATATATATTATTTCTATTATATTTAACACATATGTCATCTGTCCTGATGATAGTTATTGCATACGCAAAAAGTCCTTTAAAAAAAATGTTAAAGAATATTTTGGGTTAAAATACATCTTTTGCTTTCATTATTTGGGGTAAGTTGATTACCACAAAAGAAAGGTTCTGAAAATGGTTAAAAACACATTTCCACATAAAAGGAATGTTTGATTTATAAAATAAGATCTATTAAAGTACTTGGGAAAGAGACCGTTGTGCTTTTAGACCTTAAAATCATTGAAAAATTAATGAACATTAAAAGCTGCAGAAAATATACAAAAATGATATAATGAGCGAGTACACCATTAATCAATTTTGCAAAGAGTCTTCAATAATATTATAAAGTGAATAGGTTTATCACAACATCAGTAATATATAAAAGGTGTCCAGTTCAGAAAACCCTGCCTTCATTATATTAGCATATGATACAGCTCAATACAAAACATTGCATATTTCAGCATATGTAAACATCATCCCTGTATGAACTACAGTAAACAGTCTGATCAGAAACCTGATATCATTAATCAATTTTAACAGTTCTTAAGCTGAAAATTGGTCCAAAATGATTTGCCTTTCTGAGAAGAAAAAGACAATTACTACTTAAAAACCATAACAGTATATCTGAACATATACAAAAGCAGGAACTTGAAACAACAGTTCAGGGAAGAAACCTCACTGGAAATAGAAGTATTAACAATGGAAGAATCAGGGGAGGGTATTAGGAACGTATGCACTGTTTCATAACACTATTTGGTCAGACTTCTGACATGACAAATGTAATTCATCAATTTGGTTTCCACAACATTCACATCCGAGATTCAAAGCAATTCAACTGAAGAGAAAATGACTGCCCCGGCCACATCTCAAAACCAACTAGATTTGCATGTCCTGAAGAAAATACCAGTGCTTGCAAGGCAGAAAAATAGAAGTGTAGAAAAGTTTAAGCTGAACAGAAAGAAAAGACTAACTAGATGCAATTAAGACAAGACCAATCGCAGTTCATTATTCAAATAGATTTATGAAAAAAGAAATTGTAATTCAATATGCAAATATTGTCATCACTGTTGTATTTAGAATTGGATATTTTCAAAATGTAAAAATTTCTTAAGTATTACATTTACAAAAATAGATTATCACACCTTAGATTCAAATTCTCTACAAGAAAGTATGAATGGTGCCTTGCAAGCACTAATTAAATCATATGAAAAGCATTATGATAAAAAGTATTTTGGTTGTAGTACATACTTACCCAGCCAGTAAATCTCAACATCCTTTGCATTGCCATATAGAAAGTGCTACATCCAATAGCAACTGACCTGAATCCAGTTCATCTCTTAAACTTCCAACCCCACACATAGAGAATACATTGTATGCAACAAAAAAGTGCCAAGTCTTAATCCTGTTTTATAGCATGGGGTTTGTAGTAGATGACAGTAACCGTGACCCACGTGTTCAGAACGGTCATGACGACAAACCGAATGAGGACTGGAGAAGAAAGAGAGGAGAGGTAAAGATGACATCTTAACCAAACAATCAACACTTGAGCTCTTACTGACCTTGTGTGTCTGCTGTGGTGATGGCGGTGGTGAAGATCCGCGCTGACAAAGAGAGCAAACACTCAATATCAACATGACAGACTAGATAAGTGCTTCATTTCCGTGTGTGTGTGTGTCACTTACCCATGCATGTGTATGTGGCCAGACCCCAGGTGAGAGTGCTGACCTGCCCAGAGTCCTTTGAGCGCCACAGACACTGAAGCTGTGCTAGTTTACTGCCGGCGCTGATGAATGTGCACAGACTCTGAGAGAGAACGGCAAAAACAGAGAAAACTCTTATGTTCTGTTGTTGTTTTTAAATAAATAATGCCGTTCAAAGATTTGAACGAAATTGCATTAGATTGCAGTAAAGACATTTATAATGTTTCTATTTTTTCATTCATCAAAGGATTCTGAAATGTATAACGCTTTCCCAAAAAACATTAAACATTATACATTTAAAATATATTCAAATAGAAAACAAATATTTTAATAATATTTCAAAATATTACTGTTTTTACTGCATTTTTCATCAAATAAATTAAGTCTCTGTCTGTGACATTAAGAAATCTTACCGACCCCAAACTTGTATAAAATTATCATACAATATTACACTGAGAAGTGTAGAATTTCTGTGCCACTAAATGCCATCTCTCTCTCTCTCTCTATTTTTTTTTCATGACTGAACTGGACAACATTTGCTCAACCAATGGTACGAGTAATTTATTCAATTCTGTTAATACTATAATGGTGCAAAAAGACACTTTTCCTTTAATCTCAACCTATTATGTTCAAATTAAGATCAAGTGTAAATTTGACACTAATGCAAATTCATATTCACAGTAATTGCATGTTCTCACCATGGCCAGATCAATCACCCACTTCTGTACTGTAAGAAGCTGCCATCCACCCACAAACCTGATTCTTGCAGTTAAGGAGATGGAAAAGTATATACATGAAATATTTTTAAATAGGCAGGTTTTGAATGTTATTGGGACATTATGTTTTTATTTTTCACTCTGTGTCCGGAAATAGTATAACCTGACAATGTGGGCTTGAAGGATACAGTGCTGCGTATATGAGGCTGTGCTTCAGGTTTCTGTTGTAGTGCAAGATCAACAGGAGCACAATGACATCTGTGGAAACACAAGCTTGAACATAGGCACTCAGAACCCAAAGTCTCACTTGTGAATAAGCATCAGAATGTCGTCTCACCTTGTGCAATGAGGATGGGATACTCCAGGTATGTGAGGGGTGGGTAGTCATAGTACATCTGATAGGACATGAACACTAGAAACCTAAACACACACACACACACACACACACACACACACAGATAAAGACTTTAGGTCTAAAATATCTTACGGTTTTCTACGCAATCTCTCTAAAACAAAAAACCGGTTTACAAACCCTCGATCACAAATCACCGTGAAAGTCATAGTTTGGGAAACCCTGCTTTATAATAGCTACAATATGTGACATAAGGTGTAATCATAAGCACATTGTACAACACTAATGTTGTGCATATGACAAAATACAATTTGATTTGACTTAAACGCATAGTGAAAATTACTCATAATGCAACATTAAGCGTTTATGCATGCACGAACATCATTTTTCATTCAATGTCATATGCCACGAACACATCAATGGCACTTTGATGGAGCTCAACTCATTCTGTATGTCTGCGTCTAGCCTTTCATGCATCGGTCCTTAAAAGATTCATTTCAATCAACTGTCAGTGAAGTTCTTACCCGACCAGCTCCAGCAGAAGACTGTTCAAACTGACTCCAGCGCTCGTTCTGGCCCGCATCAGCACGAATATCTGCGGGAACTTCAGCACCATACACACGAAAAGAGTGCTGAAGTTGGCCAAATTCAGCGTCAAGTTACCGTCCATCTCTGTAAACTTCTAGTCCTTTAATTCCCCTCTATTTTTCGCTTCTGGGATTCTGGCACGAAGCGTATCCAGCTGTTATTATCCGAATCAACTGCACTTCCGCACACATCAGAGCGCGAGATTTGACCCTCCACAGCGCCCGTAGCTCACCGCTTCAGCTTGTTCTTGAGAGTGATGGTGATGTGGTGATTGATTGCACTTACCTTCAGTTCAACTGAATAGCTGGGTCATTCGCAACAAGTGTGGTCACAAATATTCTCTCATTAAAAAAAGATTAAATATGATCAGGAATTCCCATTTAAAAGGTACACAACCAAACATGATAATAAACACTATAATTTTTTGACTGTTATGTTTTGCAGATATTTAAATGTATCTACTCACTTGATTTTCCCTGGTTAAGTAGTGTAAGGTCTAACGAGTGTGCAATATATATATATATATATATATATATATATATATATATATATATATATATATATATATATATATATATATATATATATATATATATATATTCTATCTTAATATACTTTAACATATAATTTATTTCAATTAATTACAACTGTTTACAACATTGATAATGGATTATGCACTGAAGAGTAAAGATGCTGTAAATTTGCATCACAGAAATAGATTATATTTTAAAGTATATTAAAATAGAAAACCATTCTTTTAAATTGTAATAATATTTCATAATATTACGTTTTTTTCTGTATTTTTAATCAAATAAATTATGGCTTGACAAAGGCTTGATGAGCATAAGAGTTTTCTCTCAAAAACATTAAACATAGTAATGTTTCCAAACTTTTGACTGTTACTGCATATATATTATGGTGAAAGGGGAATGATTCTTAGATTCAAATGTGAACATTGAGAAGGTTATTAATTTACATTATTTACCGTTATTTAATTATTTTTCATTTTTGTTAAACTTGTCTTTGGTGTTACGCTGTGTTGTAGCGTGTTGTGTTTGTTTTTAAAATGAGTTCTGTGTCTGTTCATGTTTGTGTTATTGAATTAAAACCTAAAAAAAAAAAAAAAAAATTCTACAGTCTATGATTAAAACATTAGACTGCTATATTGTATTGATTTTAGTCGGATCAGTGGTTTTTTGTGATGCTATTGTTGCCATGAATAGATCAAGCAATTGTTCAAGTTACAAAGTCAACATTGTTTGAGAATGACCCAAATGAATGAAATAAGCAATCAGAATAAAAATGAAGAGCATTCTTGGAAAAATGAGAATTGAAGTGTGCCTCTATTTATTTGTTTTTAATAAGCAATTCACTGGGTTAAACAAATACTGTTACAACACAAAAATGATACATTTTAAAGCAACAAGTTTTATAACAACTTCATAATCAAAAGACAAGTTTATCTTTTTTTCTTTTCTCTTGCATTTCCTTAATTTAAAAAAAAAAAAAAATCAAACAGACATACTTTTCATTGAGCAGCTTTGCTGCCTCTTGCTACCCTGTTCAAAGAACCATCTCTCTCGCTTTTTATTATTTGCAAAAATGCAAAGGCTTGCCAGTAATAAATAATACTATAAAATGTTCTGCAAGTACACAAAAAAAGATTGAGAAACAACAACAAGGGTAAATGTACAAGGTTTCGGGGTGATAAGGGTGGGGCGAGTGAGTGTGGGCAAATTTAACAAAATCTCAGATTCATACAGGACAGACAAAGCATCTATACATCCATACTAGCCAGATAACAAAGTTGATTTTATTATTTATGTGTGTGTGTGTGTGTTTGTTTACAAAGTGTTTTTTTTAAAACAAGCAGGCGTTGTTAATTACAGAGCACAAAGAATAATTAAGGCAGCTCAAATGTTCGCCTCAAAAAAGTTGAAACTCCTTAGAAACTGCAGTTTGCTCTTGTTATTTTACACAGACATAGTGCCTCTCACACAGAGTGCAGAAATAAGATTTTGTTGTTGCATAATTCTGGCTGTTGTCAAAGCCATCCTCTTAATACCGCCAACAGGAATGATGGGAAAACAGGTTGTGATATTACTGTCCCCTTTGTCACATACTGTATAAGATGAAAACTCACATAAGCTGCCTCTCTCGGTTCTTCCAGTTTTCTTGATTTTGCATCATTACAACAGAGCTGACATTGCTGAGATTGTTGTTTTGTTTGAGTTGTTTAACACTGCTCGATGAGGGATGCACTGATTGATTGGTTTTGCTGGTATTTGAGTTGGGGTGTATGAGTTTCCTCGTCTCCATCTTGTTACTGTGCATGCGGCTGATCTTTCACCACAGCAGTGCTCATGTTCCCCCCGTCTGATTAAACAGAAGACCTCCAAACATTTCAAACTCACTAATTTTGGTGAATGAAAAAGCCAAATGCTCTCTCTGTACCCAGCCTCAGGACTGAAAGACACTTTGGCCTCTAAAACAGGCGCCTCTCATGTAAATCCTTTGAAACGCTCTTGGATTACAGTATTGCACTCAAGCTCTATGGTTTGTTATTTCAGTTCATTTTAACTCATTGAGTCCCTCATCTGTCCTGCTTTGCTCTTGTTGACAGAGCACACTTCACTTCCCTCTAGTGGACCAATGTTGCCATGTTGTTGTTGTTTTTTAAAAGTCACTTACAAATACGGCAATTGTTTTGGGTTCATTTCCAGATTCTTGTATTTATTTACTTGAAAGTGTGACCTGATCACTGGTAGCAGTTTTTAAATATCTCCAACAACTATTTGCAGTGCACTCCAAGTTTTCCTCCCATGTTTTGTCCTTTTTCAGTATAAAAACTGCTTATTTTTAGACTTACAGCACCAAATCAGCATATTAGAATGATTTCTGAAGGATGTGACACTGAAGACTGGAGTAATGATGCTGAAAATGCACCTTTGCCATCACAGGAATAAATAAAATTTTAAATCGATCCCAAACTTTTGAACGGTAGTGTGTTTTTGTGAAATACATTTTGGGCTTGATTTATCAGACCAATTTAAAAAAAAAAATTTTTTTTAGAATGATCTGGCAACCCTATAATGGACACACTGAATATTTCTCACTTTGAAAACTCAGGATCACGTCATTTAGAAAGCGCAGGACAGCAAATAAAAATGGTTAAATATATTTTTTTACGACTGTTTTGTGGCCATTTATAATAGTTGACACAGTTTTACAGTATTTACCATAAGTGCAATGACTATCTCTTCCATGCAATACACACACACACACACACACAGTGTCTCCCTGCTGTTGTCAAGGACAGCTTCATCTGCTATGTCCCACACACAGACACACACGCGCGTTTTGCTGGTGTCATTGTCTTGTCTGCGTGAGACCGCAGACACTACAACAGTGTTGGGTTTCAGGGCTATATCTGTACCAGCCCAGTCTGTGCTGCTCTGGTTTCAACAGCAAGGTCACACGCACACACACACACACACACACACACACACACACACACACACACACACACACACACACACACACACACACACACACACACACACACACACACACACACACACACACACACACACACACACACACACACACACACACACACACACACACACACACACACACACACACACACAGGGAAGTGATAAAAAAAATCATATTTCATGTCTGTGAGATAAGCAATGGGTATTTGGGTGGTGTGTGCAGCTTTAAGAAGAGTGATTTCTTTAAGATGTGACCTTAAATTGTCCTTCATACACCCTATCAATCAACATCTGAGCTTCTTTTAAGAGCAAATCATTATAGATGTAAGTTTGAAAATGGGAATAAAATTGTATAGTTCAGAGTGAATAATTTAATCAGCTTAATTTTTTTAGGACATCTGGATATCAGAGTAATAGAAATAAAAAGGTAATCACGACTTTCTAATTTTAAATCTAACAATGTGACTATCTTCCCATTGCAACTTTGATTTAGCTAAATTGCTACTGTGTATCTTACAACAGAGACTTTATGTTTTGCAATTGAGACATTATATTTCATAATTACAACTCTGTCTTGCAATGTGATTATGGGTAGGCTACGTTTACACCACACCGATGTAGGCCTACTAAAAACGGAAACGTTTTTCCTTTGCGTTTTTTGCGTACAGATGCCAGCGCTGTCAAAACGATCCCCATTCACATGGAACCGCGAAAACTACTAAAAACTGTATTATGCTGCCAGGCCCGTAGTTGGCGATGTCACTTTGTAAAGAAAAACGTCTCGGTTATGGATGTAACCCTCGTTCCCTGAGTAGGGAACGGAGACGTTCCGTCGGATGATGACGAATGGGGGTTTCGCTTAGAAAGCCTTTCGACTTCGAGTATACAAAAACGAGCCAATGGCAAAGAAATGCCATGGGTCTGCGGAATTTGCCTAGCGTAACTCCGCCTCACCTCGTGGGTATTTAAGGAGAACGCTGGCAGCAAATAGGCATGTTTCTTTGCTGCGGAGCCAAGACTGAGCTCAGGCGATCCCCGCGGTACAGCGGAAAGTGGCAGGAAGACGGAACGTCTCCGTTCCCTACTCAGGGAACGAGGGTTACATCCGTAACCGAGACGTTCCCTTTCGTTGTCACTCCGAGTTCCGTCGGATGACGGTACACTGGGGAGCATATCCCATAGCTTAGAGGAATATGCAATTACTGCCAAACCAGAGGGGGGGGAGGGGGGGGGGGGGGAACAGACTTAGAGAATACACATATGACCCAGAGGGATGCTTATGGGGAATCACTGGGGTGTCCAGCCGCAGGTGGAATATTTCAACCCCAGGGGTGGCAAGGTGGCTTGCCAAGGGAAAGACACATGCTCAGAGAGGCTTACAGTGGAAATACACATGTGGGGGTAGCTCAGAGGAGGTACCATGCACACGGAAGGCACCTAGCCGACGCGCAGGCAATAGACACTGGCGCCAGCGTCAGCAGTGCTGGAGGAACTCAGGGCTTTCGGGGAAGCTCACCTGAGGAGAATATCACACGTATCCAGTCCGCGGAGTGGAATGGCGAGAAGGCGAAGACACCTGAGCGGGTCCGGCACTAGCTGGTTGAAGCGAGTACATGAGAGGACACTGGCTCCACTCGGAGATTGTAAAATCTGGCGAATGTGTTAGGTGTCGCCCAGCCTGCAGCTCTGCAGATGTCTGTTAGCGAGGCGCCATGCACTAG